CCCCCCCCTCCTCAGCCTGCGACACGCCATGAGTGCTCGCGGTGGGGGCGAAATGCTTGGCGGTCAAGCAAAAAGGACTACAACCAAGGCAACTGCTGGTAAGGCGGCACTGGGCAAGAAGCGTGAAAGGAGATCAAGATTCTGGTCATTACTTGGTCATGGTGTGCGGCAGCCACCGGCACCGCACCGCGCACGGTAGTTAGTTATATGCGTGTGTTGGGTTGCGGTCCTGATGGGCGGCGGGCGGGCGGGCGGGCGGGCGTGCGCGGTTTGGACGTGCGAGGGTGGTCTTGGTCTTGGTTTTCTTTTCTTGGGTCGTTCAGTGTGTCATTCAGTGTGTCAGTCATCTTCGAGGAATTGGGCGTTGAGGGTGGTGCCGGAGGGGGTTGTTTGTTCGTCAGATTTGCGTGCCTTTTTTGTGTTGGTAGCGATACGTGTAGTGGAGCTTTTGAGTAGTGAGGGTTGCAAGAGCTGATTGGTTTGGACTTTGGTGTAGAGTCTTCGTTGGGCGAGATTGCCATGTACCCGCATGACGGGTAGCTGGCTGACCTCGAGTAGTGCTGCATTAAAGTCAGTGCTTGATCCTAGTTGGCAGTAGACGTTGCCAAGTCCGCTAACGAATGCAGAAGAGCCATCGCTGAACTCCACATATTTGAAGGTTGAATGCACCTTGTTGTCCACGACCTTCATGCGCAACGTATCCTTACCCACCAACGTCGACTTAAGCTCCGCGAGTCCCGCCGCATTTTTGCGAGCCACTTGATCCTGCTCGTACTCCCGACACTGTGCAAAATCAAACGGCTCCGCATCCACTGCCACCGATGTCGGAAGCCCTACTAGCATCAAACGATCTTCCAAACCTGGAGCACCCGGCGCCGCCACTAATGGGATACGCACCACCTCCTCCTCCGCAGACTGCACGTACTCATCAGCGACCACCGGCCCCTCTTCCTCCTCCGGCCCCTCTTCCTCCTCCGGCCCCTCCTCCTCTTCCTCCGGCTCCTCCTCCTCTTCCTCTTCGTCAAACAACTCTTCCGCCTCGCCGCCCCGCTGCTCGCCACCCGCCTCCTCCGAACCCGGCTGCTCGCCACCCGGCTCCTCCGAACCCGGCTGCTCGCCACCCGGCTGCTCAGCCCCGCCCGACGCAATAGGGGCCTCTACCGTGGCAGTCAGGTTCTCGGTTTCCGGTCCTTCCTCGTCCTCTCCCGCGTTCTCGGCACCCTGCTCGTCCTGCCCGTCCTGGTCCACGTCATGGTCGTCAAACACGTCTCGTATATCCTGGGTCCCCAGGCTCAACTCCATCTGAGTGGCACCCACGTCATCGCCCATGTTTTTTAAAACCAGTCACCACATGACTTACACGATTGGGCAACACAGCACGGTTTCGCGGACTGCAAAGGAACGATGGTCGAGGGTACCTTGGGTAACACTCAGTTCGGATACACCCAATCTTCCGTATGTCTTTCATGGTCGCTCAAAAAGGTCTGCAGAGTTGCTCCCCACTTCGGCGAATTCGAACATTGTGTAGTCTACCGTGGTTTCCCACTTCATGATGTGTGCGGTGAGGTGTGTCAGTAACTGCCTTGTCGTTGAAACTGATGGCCCGAGTGTCGTGGTGGTCAAAAAAGCCGTGCAACCGGCTCGGACAGAAGACCGCTCAAGATTCGAAGGTATTTTGAACAGACTGCTGTCTTGCATCACCACCACCTCACATTGCAGAGACTCCCTATGACTCGTTGCCATCAGCAGACTCCCTGAGGCGCTCCAGGCGGAAGCAGAATGGACGTCAGGGCTTCATCAGGAGTGGACGCTCTAGCGTCATCGGCAGTGGCCGCATTCGATTCATCGGCAGCGGACGCGTTGGCATCATCGGGAAGAGCCTTCTTGGCTTCGGCGGGACTGAACGCTTTGGCATCATCAGCAGTGAACATCTTGGATTCATCGGCAGTGGACGCGTTGGCATCATCGGGAAGAGCCTTCTTGGCTTCAACGAGACTGAACGCTTTGGCACCATCAGCAGTGAACATCTTGGATTCATCGGCAGTGGACGCCCTAGCGTCATCGGCAGTGGACGCGTCGGCATCGGCAGTGGACGCGTCGGCATCGTCGTAACCAAGGTCGGGCTGCAGGTCGTCCGTCAGTTTGGTCTTAGCACTGGGGGTTTGCATCTTCAATGTTTCAATCTCAATCTTCAACGCTGCATTCTCGATCTTCAGCGCCCCCATCTCCTGAACCAATGATCGGTTCTGTTCCCTCAGTTTCCCGCACTCGGCTTCGAAGTCCTCTTCGTACCACACGTGCTTCACCTTGTGACCGCATTGGGGAGCCTCTTTCGTATATGTGTCGCACGTCTTACAAAACCAAGAGTCTCCGAGCGTTTCAATGTGTTTGTTGTAGCCGAACTCGTCTCCGTAGAACCGGCGACACTTACAAGGAATCACTTGCCACGCATCGCATCGACTACGGCCGCCATGTGTATGGTAACAATGGGAGTTTAATGGTTTCTTCCTGGTGTACGTTAGGCCGCAACAATGTCCATGCCAGTCCCCCGTGTTTGTCCCGTAGCTCGTACAACGCTCTTTCTGGTGGTGTTCAAACGCCTCCGTGGGACTTCTGAACTTTATGCAACAACGTTCACAATATAAGTACCAACAACCCTCGTCCCTGCAGTGACCCAACCATGCACCTGCTTTCGTAGTCTTGTATCCACAGAAACGGCAAACCACAGCCCGCCCGCTGCCATCCATTAATTAAACCGAAACGGCAACTTAACAAAATCCGATCGTCTGAACCAGCGGTGGCTAAAAAGCTCTCAGCAGCAGTGTTAAACTCCAGGCCATTCAAGATCCCGAGGTCTTGCGGTCTGGGACGTCGTGGAAATACCTCAATAGGGCCCGCAAGATGGGTTCCACAGCTCCTGAATAAGTTTGCCAACTGCCGACCAGCACGCACATTGGACGACAAGTTCAACCCACCACACAGCACCCAGACTGCCGTCAAAATTGCAGCCTAATGATGATCTCCCCCAGCAGAATGAACGGTGCATTTACTACAATATTAATCTACGGCAGTACTCTCACCAAAAAAACTTTTCAGCGGCAGAAGACCGTTCAAGATCCGCGATCTTCAACAGACTGCTGTCACTGTCACTGCTCGCCATGTTGCTCCTCTTCAAACCGTTAGCTGCAGCGGAGCCACAATTACCCCGTCCATTTGGGTGGCTACCTCCGGTGCAGTGGTCGCCAATTCCTCTGGTGCAGTACATGCCACTTCCTCCGGTGCTGCCTCCGGTGC